TTTGGTACCCGGGATTGAACTCTGGATCTTGCGCTTGCAAAGCAGGCGGTGGCAGCACTGAGCTAAATCCCTGGCCCAAGCAGAGATACATTTTGAAAAAGAGCCAAATAGAAGCCTTGGAAAATGAAAAGCTCAGTGTTAAAAGTCAGATGAAACTTCACCAATAGACTAGATCAAGTAGGAAAGCAAATATCATATCTCAATGATAAGACTGATAAATTATCTCACTCAGACTGTAATAAAGAAAAATAATAAAGAATAAACACAACATACAGTTGTAGACCAACATACAGTCTGCACACCAAACTTACAACATACTTGGAACAGTTGAGGGAGAAGAGTTATAGGTTGAAAGCACAAAAAACATAGTGAAATAATACCAGAAAATTTCTCAAATCTTAGGAAAGATGTGAATATCATATACAGGGGAAATTTTAAAATCCAAATATACATGACCAGAAAAGAAGATCTCCACAATATATTATGGTTAAACTGCCAAAAGTACAGAACAAACAAAGAATACAAAAAGCTGCAGGACAGAAGCACCAACTCACATTTAAAAGCCAACCCATTAGACTAACAGCAGAGTTCTCAGCAGAAACACTAAAAGCTAGGAAGGCAGGAAATGAAGCATTTCAAGTCCTGGGAAAAATTAACTGCCAGTCTCGATTATTATCCCCAGCAAAGTTATCCTTTATGGTTGAAGGATAGATAAAGACGGCCTAAAATAAGCATAAACTAAAGAAATTAATGACCACTAAGCCGTAAGTACAGAAAGTACTTACGGGAATTCTACAAACAGATATGGCAGGAAAACACAATCAAGAGAGTATGGGGAAGAAAACATCTCACTAGAAGAGTATATAAGAAAAAAAATAGGAAATAATTGACCATTATAGAAAACCACTGAACTGCTAAGATGAATAAGAGATAGAATGAATATAAGTAATCAAAACAACCAGAAAAAGATTAACAAAATGAGAATTAATACATACCTTTTAATAATAAACTTGAATGTAAATTATCTTAATTCTTCAATAAAAAGACATGGATTGGCTGATTTTATTTTTCAACAGCGTCTTTCTGACCCTTTTATCTTATCCAGGCTACTTAGGGCTGGTAACACTCACACCCTTAATCCTAGTGCCCTTGATGCTAGCGTTGCTCCCATGAATCAATCCCAGAGTCATGTGCTCTAGATCCAGCCACCTCTGAAAAAGCCCCACCTATAACTAGATGTAAAAATCCTCAACAAAATACTGGAAAACCAAATTCAATAACACATTAAGGAGATCATTTACCATGATCATTTGGGATCCATACTATCCAAGCAGTTTACAGATACAATGAGATCCCTATCAAAATCCCAATATCATTTTTCAAAGAAATAGAAAAAAAAATCCTAAAATTCATATGGAGCCACAAAAGACCTTAGATTGGTATGAGAATCCAGCAAAAAGAACAAAGTTGGAGGTGATTTAAGATATATTACAAAGCCACAGGACAAAGAAGAAGGATACTAGCATGAAAACAGACACATTGACTGATGGAACAGAATGGAGAGATCAGAAATAAATAGACCTACATGTTTATGGTCAATTGATTTTCCATGAGGATGCCAAGAAGGAACCATAAAGAAAGGGAAGGCTCTTCAATAAATGGTGCTGGAGGAACTGGAAATCCATGTGGAGATGAATGAAACTGATCCATCCCTTCATACTACATACAAAAATCGACCTCAGTCTTGTGCACCATATTGTTTTATCTTATTGCATTGTTTTATATAGTTCATACCTTGTTAGAAAATAGTGCTGATCCTGTTTCTGACTTCAGTTCCAATGCCTCTAAAAATTCAATGTAATGTAGATTTTGGTACAGCTTCATGTAGGATTTCTTTCTTTTTTCTCCGTGCATACATTCACTCCTATTGTTAGTTATAACCAAGAATTTATATGCACATTGAACTTTATAAAATGTTTTAGTTTAGCTTAGTTTTGTTTTGTGGTGTTTGGGGTTCCTTTGGTTTTTTGTTTTTGTTTTTGTTTTGTTTTGTTTTTTGAGGCAGGATCTCACTGTGTAGTTGAGACTGACCTGGAACTCACTATGTAGCTGAGGCTGGTCTCGAGCTCACAGCAATCCTCCTGCCTCAGCCTCCTGAGTGCTGGGATTATAGGCGTATGCCACCATGCCCAGCCTATAAAATGTTTTAAAATCCAATGAATTCTAATTTTTAACATTTTATTTAGAATCATCACAACTATGGTCATAGAGGAAGATACATATTCACAATTACTTTTTCTTCTGCTGCCCATATTTGTGGCATAAAATTTTTCCTATACTTATTGCCACATAACAAATTGCCCCAAAACTTAGCATCTTAAAACCATAAATATTATCTCACAGTTTGAGGGTCAGGAATACAGAAGCAGCATAGCTTGGTGGATCGGGATGAGGGTTTCTCATGAGGGCAAATCAGCTATCTGCTGGTACTACGGTCATTTCAGACTAGGGTGGGTCTGAAAAGTCTCCTTTCAAACTCATTTGTGTGTTTTTTTTCCAGGGGGCCTCACACCCTCACAGGCTGTTAGCCAAGAGCATTAGTTCCTGTGAGCCACTCCATGGAGGAACTGAGTGACCTCATAGCATGGCGACTAAATTCCTCTAGAATAAATGGTGAGAGAGGGGGATCCCAAAATGGAAGCTGCACCCTTCTATCACAATAATGTCATAAAGAGACTATCACACCTGCAATATTCTGTTGGTCACACAGACAAAGAAAGAATACGGCTACGGGCGGGGACTGCACCCGGATGTAAAGACCAACTGTGAGAATATCTGGGGACCAGCTTGGAGTGTGGCCTACCCTACCCACAGAACAAATAAAAAGAATTCGCCCTCTTTTTAGTCTTCTCTGAAGTGGTTAACTTACTATAACAAATTGCTGCTCCTGGAGCACTGGTGGAAAGTAGTAAGGAATATTTTCTCAATCCCATCATGGCTTTGTCCAGGAAATAACATACACATTTGGTGTGAATTTTGTGTTTACTCGTTTTTATCATTATTCAACCACGTTGTTTCCCTTTGAGTCCATAGAGCACAGAAAAATATGGAGCAAGGTTCTATGCTTGCCTTCTGGCTTTACATGTCCAGCTCTGGTAACTTCTGTTCAGGGGAATCAAGAATACTACCTTCCGCAGTATTGGCAACATGTCATCAACATGACCCACCCTGGAAATACACTTACTTTAAGACAAAAGAAATGGCATCTTGGGAAACAGAGGACACAAAAGACTCGACATCGCTCCACTAATCCACAAGTGGCCATGATTTGTGGGAGAGGTATTTGCAACCTCTAATGCTCTAAAAATTGTAAGAAGATGACTTTTGTTGCTAGTTTGCAGATGAAGAAATTATATTTAGAAGATAAAGTCACTTGTACAAATATCACATAGCCAGTACTATCAGAGTCATGATATAAACTCAAGGCTGCACATCCCAGCAAACCTCTTCCTCCTACTTCACATCATAGGAGGGAGGCTTCTATCCAGACACCTCAGTGCATCTCATCTCAATTAATCACAAAACAGAATGTATATAAATAGATAAGCTCATTTATTTATTAACTGATCAACATTACTTCCTTAAAGCCTATTGCCAAGAGCTTGTTGAAAGGAGGTGCTGGTGGTGGAACCAAATCCTTGCTGCAGAATCCAAACCTGGAAACAGAAAAGGAATTCCCAGGCCACACACAGAACAAATTTCAGAGTCTTGTCCAAATGGTAGGAATCAATCTTTAAGAGAAAATCAGAGAAGACCTTCAGAATAAGAACCAGTCAAATCATTTCCACATTCTTTCCCTCAAAGATGCCCCTGAGATAGAAAGTTAGGGGCATAGTTGAAAATGTTTTGGTATTGGGAGACTCAGCTCAAGTTTCATTTACACTGTAAAACCTGAATCTCAGAGCATTGAACTACATTGTTCTTAAGCCCCAGTGTTCTTTTGGACATTGACCATGGACATCATTGTGTAAATAACCCAAATAATACTTGGTGCATACAGTGTCAATTTCATTATGTCTATTACAGATAAAGAAGTGGAAACTCGGGAAGTCATTTGCTCAGGGCCCTCGAGTGGAAAGGCTGGAATAGAATCCAAGCCACAGGTCATCCTCTGGAAATCTTTGCCCTGAGACCTGGGAAACAGTGCCCTTGAAAGACAAGGGAGACAGGCACTTTCTGTTTAGAGTAGAGGGTGTCCCTGACCATGCACCTAGACCTCCAGAGGGTTGATACTGACAAAGTTGGAGGCAGGAAGATCAATCTGTCCCAGCCCTCTCCTTACCTTACTGAGGAGGAATGCAGGCTTTCCCACACATGCCCTTGCAGCACTTTAATTTACCCTCACACTGGCCATCCTTCTCACAGAAATTGGGGGGATTAAGCATCAGACATTCAGCATTGGTCACTGGGCACTTCCCAGGCTTCTTCCTCCCTGTTAAGAGTAGAACCACAGGTCAGAGGTCTTGTACCTTAGACATCATCCCACTGCTTCTTGGACCCAACCTCTGCACCAGCCTGAGCAGGGAGGATCATCTCCTCCCCTACCCTCCTCAACATCACCTCCTCCCTACGGCATATCCTGAAATAACATTTGACCCCCCTGGAACACCTGTACCCCAATCAGTGCAGCTGACCGGCTGTCTAGTGCTGACTGGATGGGTAGCTTCCAAATGCCTGGCTATCCGAATGCCCAGATGGTTACCAGGGAAACAAACCTGCTGTCATTCTGGCTGTTTCAGCTGGGTGGTTAACTTTCTGCCTGCGGTAACATGACTGACATATTGGGCTCAATAGACCTTAAAAGGGAGGAGGCCTGGCATGACCCCTTCACCCAATCCAATCTCCATAGACGCTGGGTAGTCAGGCTCACTCCTTTCCACCCAGGTCTTGCGCTAGTTCACCTGATTTTGAGATGTCAACAGGATCCAAGCACTTGATGCCACAATAGTCAGTGCAACATTTTTTTTCCCCTGGACATTGCCAGTCACTCTTGCATTCAGGCTTCTCATATCGAATACACACGACCTGTTTTCTAGGAGGGCAGGCTCCGGCTTTCTGAGATCCTGAGAAGAAGTTCAAGAGGTTAAAGAGAGGCTGGGTGCTGTGTAGCCATCCTGACTCTTGGGCAGGAGAACTTTCCAGGACCACTTTCCAGGAGAAGAGAATCTCACCTCTGTCCAAAAAGTCCACAGGAAAATATGTGTCTGAGTGTCAGGAAAAGTGATAGGTTTAATCAAACCAGACAGTTGCACAGGAGAAGTAACAGATTCAGGAACAAGACAGGGCTGCCAGTCAAGATCTTTTACTTTAGGGCAAAACAAAATTACACAAAGACTTAAAGGAAGACTTGGAGTGACAGACATCAAGAGAAGTAAATAAAGATGAATGGAACTAGCATGGGAGATGTTGAAAATTAAAGCTAGAGTAAGAAACATAAAGACTAAAGGGGAGAGAGAGAGAGAGAGAGAGAGAGAGAGAGAGGGAGGGAGGGAGGGAGAGAGAGACAGAGAGAAAAGAAGGGACTAATCATTGGAGAGTCACCAATAGGGTCAGAGAGTAAAAGAGACTGCAGGAGAGAGAATGGGAGAGAGAGAATGAAGGAGTGAGACCTGGGCTGATGGGGTAGCTGAGAAAAAGAAGCATTTCCAGATGCTCAGGAGTCTTACAGAAGCCCTGGGGCCCGGAAGTATACGTACGCCACCCTCAGGGAGGTCTCTCGAAACTAACCTGAACGATCAGGACCTAGAGAAACGGACACACTCACGCCACCAAGAACCCCCCACCTCCGATGGCTCCAGCCAAGACTGGGTCAGGGTGACTCCAACTTACTTTTTCTAGAGCCTTCCGCAGCCAGAGTTTCCAGAGTTCCCAGGGCAAGGAACACCACAAGGAAGAAGAGGCTCATGGACTTCATGGTGAAGGCAGGTGGCTCTGATGACTGATGTGAAACTTCACTATTTATGTCCTTCCCAGTGGGTGTGGCCCCAACAGAATGCTCTGGCTCCTCCCAGCTGCTATTGCATAGGCAGGAAGCTTAGCTAGAGACCAGAATTTCTGCAACTAGACAGATGGTGGCCCTGGCCCTTTCCTGCTTCAGACAGGACTGTGAGGCCTATAAAGTAACTACCAAAGTGTTACCTGAAAGGGGTAACCAGGCTGATAAAGAAGGCCATTCCAGACATCTGTCTGAGTCCTGAACACTGTGGCAGCCGCAGGCCCATTGGCCTTGCAGGTGGAGAAGTTGTGAAAGAATTCAGTTGCAGAGCTGGGCCAGGAGCTGAAACTAGAGACAGGGACTCTTAACTGTGACTGTACAATACACCCCTACTTCTCACATTCCTGGACTCTCTGGGATTGTGAAACTCCTTACTTATTGCTTAATGCAAGTTCCTTCTCAAAAATGCAGATGACACATCACTCAACCAACAGATGCTTATTTTCCTGAAATATTTGCACCATTATATCCCCAGTGCCTGTTCTATGACCCAAACATGCAAAGCACTCTCTAAACAACTGAAAGATGCACAGGGTGAAATTAATATTACATTTAAGTTATTAATAACTTAAACAATATATTAAATATATTAACATGTATGAGTTAAATGATTAATAACCTCCAAGAAAGATCTATGGGAAAGAACTCTGGCTGCAGCGAATCTCTTTGGATTTCAGTTTTCCCTGCCATAAAATGGGATGATACTAACAGCCCTTCTCAGAATGTTATAAGATTAAGGTTGTGAAAGGACTCTGAAAAGAATAATAAATACTATCACTGAAACTAGTTGAAATGGATCGGAGATAAAGGGCTACAAAGTCACTTAGCAGTCATTGTAATCAACAGCTACCTATGGTATAATCTGAGATGTTGAAGAAATGCTTTCTACCCACCCCCCCAACCCCCCATAGATCTCAAGTGACAGCAAAAACATTCTGCTACATTCTAGACCTTTTCTCTGTGCTACCTAGGCTGCATAGATTGCTTCGAATTCTTGAGGGTGATTGTTTTCTCTACAATTCAGTGAACCTCCTCTGACTGCAATTTCCAAGCTCTTGCCCACCATCATGTGGCCTCTTGATGTTTGGGACACTCCCGTTCACTTGTCAGACTGAAGAATTGCAGAAATTGAAATAGACATGCAAGCACCACATGTTACAAGTAGGGAAGACACGTGAAGTTCTGTGCTAAGTGTTCTCCAGTCACTGGCAGCAAATCCCTTTGGGCAAAAGTAATTCAGTGGTTTAAATTTTGGTGAGAAAAGAAAATGGAGAAAATTGATATGCCTCGGTAACTGTGATGATCCGAGTTTATTCACTCATAGGTGGAGTAAGTGGTAAGAACAGTAAGAGAGAAACAGAGGGTCTGACTTCCACAGATGAGCAATATCACCGTCAGGTTAGAGTCTTGGTTGTCATGTCTGCCACCCGTGGGACAATTTGATTCTCCTCACATCTTACTGTTCTGTCTCTTCTTATCTTTCTTAATGCTAAGAGCATAGCTGGAGTTTCCCAAATTCTTGTTTCTTATCAGTGAAATGAAGAGTGTTACAACTGTTTTCTATCTGTGATTGACTAACTGATGGGTCAATGTTTCTATTGGAAAAGAGCCCATGGTCAATTAGAATTATGGTCTTCTCTCCATAACAGAGGAGGATAGCGATGCGTGGTTATTTCTGTTCTTGACACAATTGACTTCAAGTCCTTAAATCATAGAATGTTGATATTCAAGGGGACTTTGGTTATCTAGACCAAGATTAGATAACTAATTGTAGTCTCCGGTCCAAGTCTAAAAGACTTCCTGTTTCTGTAAGTGAAACTCTATTGAAACATAACCTTATGTGTATTTACGAACTGTAGATGGCTATTTTCCCACTACAATGGCAGCATTTAACAGTAACATAAACCTGAAATAGTTACTATAAAGCCTAAAATAATTTATGTCTGGTCATTTACATGAAATGTTTGCTGACCTCCAAACATAGTGACATCCCAGCTTACAGTAAGAGATTGAATCCCTCTGGAAAAAGTACAAACCTGAACTTGCATAATGAGTTAATTACACAGCACACATCTGAGCTTCGCCAAAACAGGTTACTCACAGGCTGATCTTCAGGACTTGTTTGGTAGTGGACACTCCCTCTCCTGACCCAATCATAACCTGAAATTTATTTGCTAAATCTATTTCACACACTGTCCATTACTTTCTAGTAAACACTATGTATTTATTCATTCATTCACACAAAATTACTTAATAATCTCTTAACCCATTCCAGGTAGGGCAGTAGATCCTGAGGTTACAATGAACAAGATACATAGAGTGATACTTCATGGTTGTTAAGAATCTGAATTTAAAAGTCAGACTTGCCTGAGTTGGAAGAAAATCACTGGACCTCTCCAAGCTTCAGTAACCTCAACTATAAAATGGAAGTATTGCTTTTTTTTCTGTTTCCTATGATTGGTTTTTTTTTAACCCCCCATTAAGTTTATTGGTACATTTAAAGCAAATAATACAATTATGTTTATCTTTGGGATCTTGTACCTTTACATGATATGTCTTGGTTCTTATTTTTTCCCCATACCCCTGCCCTCCCTTCACTCCCTGCACCCTTCCCTATTTACAAAGACTTTGTTTTCATTTTTTCCTTTTCTCTTTTTTTCCTTTCCCTTCTTTCTTTTCCCCTACCCTTCCTACTTCCCCTACTCCTTTAGACCTTTTCTTCCTATTTCACACTATCAATTATACCATTGGAACCTTATTTACACTTTTAGTTTTTCACACCAGGGAAACTATTTGGTATTTGCTCAAATGTGTCTTTTTTTATTTCACTTAAGAGTATAGCCTCAATGTGCATTCATTTAGGTATAAATGTCTCTAGTTTCTCATTCTTTATGGCTGAGGAGTTCTCCATTTTACAGAAAAACCTCATCTTCCCTATCCAGTCTCCAGTTGATGGGTATTTGGGTTGTTTCCAAGTTTTAGCTATTACCAACTGTGCTGCTATTAACATGGGGGCACATATATCCCTGTGGTATGATTCTTTTAGAAAGATACCCAGCAGAGGGATTGCTGGTTCAAATAGGACCTGCAATTCTAGTTCTTTGCGGTATCTCCATATTGACTTCCACAGGAGTTGCACCAGTCTGCACTCCCACTAACAATGGAGAAGGGTTCCTTTCTCCCCTCAACCCAGCCAACATTTGTCATTGTGTGATTTCTTGATAGCAGCCATTCTTTGTGGGGTGAGGTGAAATCTGAATGTTGTTTTCATCTGCATCTCTCAAATGACAAGTGATGTTGAACATTTCTTCATATATTTATTTGCTGCTTTTACTTCTTTGTCTGAGAAATGTCTGTTCATTTCAGATGTTCATTTTTGAATTGGTTCTTTGTATTTGGGGGCTCTGATTTTTTTGAGTTCTTTATATATTCTAGATAGTAGTCCTTTGTCTGAGGTGTAGTTGGTAAAATTTTTCCCACACATTGTAGGTTGTCTTTTATATCTGTTAGTGGTTTCTCTTGCACTGCAAAAACTTTTTAATACAATGAGATCCCACTTGTTGATCTTTTGTGCAAGTTCTCATGCTGCTGAGGTTTTGTTTATAAAGTCTTCTCCTATGCCAATGTCTTCAATAGTTCTACCTAATTTACTTTCCAGTAAGTCCAGTGTTTCTGCTTTGATATTTAGATCTTTAATCCACTTGGATTTTAGTTTAGTGCATCGTGAGAGATATAGGTCTAGTTTTAACCTTTGGCAAGTTGAAACCCAGTTTTTCCAGCACCATTTATTAAAGAGTCTGTCTTTTGTTCAGTAGGGATGTTTGGCTCCTTTATCAAAAATGAGGTGACTAAGTGTGTCTGCAGTTGTTTCTGCATCTTCTAATCTGTTCCACTGATCCTAAGGTCTGTTTCTTTGCCAGTACCATGCTGTTTTTATCATAGTGGCTTGGTAGTATAGTTTCAAGTTGGGAACTGTTATATTCCCTGCTTTGTCTCTGTAGCCTAGAATGGTTTTTGCTATTCTAGGTCTCTTCTGGTTCCAAATGAATTTTTGGATTGTTTTCTCAAGATCTGTGATATACTGCTGGGATTTCAATTGGGATTGCATTGAATCTGTATAGCAGTTTTGGAAGCATGGCCATTTTCACTATGTTGATTCTTCCTACCCAGGAGCAAGGGATGTCTTTCCATCTTCTTATATCCTCTTCTATCTCTTTTCACAGAATGCCATAATTTTCAGTGTAGAGGTATTTTGTCTCCTTCATTAGGTTGATTCTTAGATATTTCATTTTTTATGTTATTGTTTCCCTAATTTCTCTCTCAGTGAGTCTGTTATTTGTATAGAAGAAGGCTATTGATTTTTGAGGGTTGACTTTGCATCCAGCTAATCTACTGAATCTGTCAATTAAGTCTAGAAGTATTTTGGCAGAGCTTTTTTGGGTCTTCTATGTAGAGCATCATATCAGCAAATAGTGACAGTTTAACTTCTTCCTTTCCTGTCTTTATTCCTTCTATTTCTTTTTCTTGTCTAATTGCTATGCCTAATGCTTCTAGAACTATTTTGAACAGGCGTGGTGATAGTGGATATCTTTGTCTTGTTCCTTGTTTTAGCATGAAGGTTTTCAATTTTTGACCATTTAGTATGATATTGACTGTTGATTTTTCATAGATAGCTTTTATCAGGTTGAGATAAAGACCATATGTTCCTAGGATTTTTATCATGAAAGGATGTTGAATTTTGTTGAATGCTTTTTCTGCATCTATTGAGATGATCATATGGTTTTTGTCCTTGAGTCTGTTAAAATTGCGCATTACATTTATTGATTTACAGATGTTGAACCATTCTTGTATCCCTGGGATAAATCCGCCTTGGTCAGGCTGTATGACCTTCTTGGTGATCTTCTGTGTTCTGTTTGCCAGTATCTTATTGAGGATTTTTGCATCTATGTTAATTAAGGAGATTGGCCTGTTGTTCTCTTTTTTTGGTTGGTCTTTCCCTGGTTTTGGAATCAAAATAATGCTTGCTTCCAAGAATGAATTTGGAAGTATTGATTCCCTTTCAATTTCATTGAAGAGTTTAAAGAGAAGTTGGAATAGTTCTTTTCTAAATGTCTTGTAGAACTCAGCAGTAAAGCCATCAGGACCTGGGCTTTCT